CCGCGCTCTCCTCCCCCACCTTAGGTGGCCTCGCCGCGCTCCTCTCCTCCTTCCCGCGGCGAACTTCCAAAAAGCTTGGACTTTTGAGTTCAAGACGGCGACAGATTCCGTCGATGCGAGGCCGAAGGCGCCAGATCCAGACCACTACCAACACGACGCCGGCAGCAACCTTCCCACAAGCAGCGGCCATGGTGTACTCGGCCTCCCTGCAAAGCTTCCTCCCGCCCTCGGCCCACGCGGCGACGTCGTCGTCCCAGCACCGGCCCAACCGTGCCCGCCCCTTCCAGTGCGCGGCCGTTTCCGCCCCGTCGTATTCGGCCGCCTCGCCGTCGGCCTCGGCCGTCCCGGCGGAGCGGGTGGAGCAGCGCTGCAACGGGAGGGCAGGTACTGGGTGCTCAAGGAGAAGTACCGCACCAGCCTCACAAGCTCACCAAGCTGCCCATGGAGCGGACGCCGACAAGCTCACCAAGGAGGACATCGACGTGCGGCTCGGCCTCTTCCACCGCCGCAAGCAGCAGTGTATGCCCCTGCTCTGTCAAGGTATAGTCTGAATTCTGAAAAAAAATTCAACTCTGAATTTTTATCTTGTGGCACCATAAGAGATACTCTGAATTTTGATGTATGTGCCTGAAATTTGAAAATACAACACGGTTAAAGGAAGATTGTGTCCTCAAAGAACCTCCTCTTCCTTTATTAAGCAAAATTACAGGAGGGGCTGAATGACTAGGCTGCGAATCCTAAGCAGGTGTGTATCTATCTTGTTTCTCTCTAGTGCTACCTTCAGATTGAAGGATCATGTGTACCACCAGTATTCCGTGTAATATTAATACCCAAAGGAATGCACTTCTGAATTTGTACCGTACTTTGGTTGGTATCCTCTGCAAATACACAAAGGAGTAGCAAAAAGGAACATACGTACTGTGTGCTTGCCAGAATGATGATACAGAGACCAAATTGCAACAAAAAGTAATCCTTCAGAGAGTAACACAGTGAAACCAGAGAACCTATTGGTCTAAGACCGTTGTAAAAGAAGAGATCAATCTGCAGCTCCAAACAGTGAATTCGTTTGACAGATTTTACAACTTCAGAGAGTGATATTTTTTTCCCTGTTTCCACAATTACCTCCACAACTCAGACTAAACCCCGCTTCTTGTTTAGGGATCAGGGATGCGTTGAAGGTTAGGAGCCTGATGAACGAGCTGACTGCAGCCAAGACTGAGCTGAAACAATCAAGGGAGGTGATCAGCAACAGTAAGAAGGCTCTGCTAGACAATGCCCTGAGCCAGCTCGACGCGTTCAAGAATCTAAGCAATCCAGCAATTAAGTAATTAAGCAATCCAGCAATCACTCACTCAGTGCCCTGATCTTTCAAGTATTAAGAAATCCAGCAATTAAGTAATTCAGCTTTACAATCAAGTTCTCTGTAATTCAGCAGCAGCGGCAACAGAGGCGGAGCGGGGAATACCAGCAGCAACAGAGGTGAGAGCGGGCGCGACCTTCGGAGGAGGGCCAGCACGGAGAGGAAGACCCTGGGCTTGGAGGAGAGGTTGAGCAGGGCCAACGCGGCGATGAAGACCCTGGGCCAGAGCGGCGAGGAAGACCCAGCGCCGCGACGGCGTCCAAAATTGTCCGCGGCGACGGCGGCCAAGGCGGACCAAATCAAGGACCTAGTCGTCGATTTACTGCTTCTTGGCACGATTCAGAGGGAGGTGATGAAGAGGAAGAACTTTAGGAGCAATCCCACTGCTCAGGTAGGCGAGGGCACACCCATGGCGGCTGCGCAGCTGGGCGGCGGTGCAAGGCGCCTCCGTGGAGGTCCTGCGCGTCTCCTCCGCGACGACGCAAGTCGTCTCCTGCACAGGCGGCTGGGTCTTGCGACGCGCGGAGACTCTCTCTGGGTGCTGAGGAGAACGGGGGAGGAAGACGGGGGATGGTGGCCGGAGCTGGCGACGCGCGAGCGACGATGGAGAAGTGAGGAAGGAGACGGGGGCGTTTTTTCAAACGATTCAAAAGTATAAGGACATGTTTGCAAAATGCATAATGTACAGCAGCCGCGACATCTAAATCCGAATGAAGGGAGTAGTAACAGAGTAGTAACATATGCATGTTACTACTCTATGTTACTCCCCATTATGGCTAGTCTTAGCGTTATGAGATAATAAACAACTAAATCTAAATGCACTAGTAGTTGGGAGCTGGTAGATCTAGCAGGACATGGGACGACGGCAATCGATCACCTCAGTAGTTCTCCTCTTCGTCGGAGGAGTAGTCGCCTGTGAGGAGCTTCCGGCCGACCTCGAAGGAGACGAAGGCGTCGATGCAGGCGTACTGGATCTGCTCTTGGGAGAGGCGGCAGGCGTCCCACGGCCCCATCGTGACCCTACGCGGCTTTTGGAGGTTGGCCCCCATGACGACGCCCGCGACGTCCTTGAGCCCGGCCTGGCGGAGCCACGGCCTGCGCATCTCGTCGGCCGCGAGGTCGCGCAGGTCGACGGCGTTGGCGACCTCGAGGCCGTAGTCGTCGCTGAGGCGGCCGCCGTCGTCCTGCACGCCGACGCCGACGAATCGGAAGTCCGGGTTGGCGAGGAAGCGGTGGAGGGCCGGCGGGACGAAGTCGGCGTGGAGGAGCTGGAAGACGAGGCAGCGGCGGCCGACGCAGAGCTGCAGGAGCGCGACGGGGTTCTGCGCGCGGCCGTAGCTGGGGCGCCACTCGACGTCCAGCCCCACGATGAGCTTGTGGTAGACCCAGCGGTAGACGTAGCGGATCTGGCGGAGCCAGGCCTTGACGGCGTCGCCGGAGGACGTGACGGTGGCGGTGATCGTGTCGTCCTCGAAGTCCACGGAGGTGACGAGCTTCTCGGCCGCCATTGCGGTTTGTGTTGCACGAGCGAGAGCGACAACGGTCAAGAAGGAGTTGGGAAGAGAGATCAGAGAAGAGCAGAAACACGCGAGGAGATGAAAAGAAGGCGAAAACCGAAGGAGACGAGCGGCGTCGAGAAGCGTGGCGGGGAACCAGGGCACTATTGTTGTTGCGGGATGGGAGAGGACAACTATTTGATACTCCGTACTGTATATTGCCAAACAAACGTATCGAGATATACTTTTCGGTCTTCCAAAAAAGAGATATATACTCCTATTTTTTCTGAATACATATATTTTTTGCGTAGTAATACATGTCTTATTAATAAAATAAAGACGCCGATAAATGCCACACGTGTGGGCGTTAGGCAGTCCGGCCACACGTGTGGGCGTTACGCAGTCCGCCCACACATTTTGTGTGGTGTATAAGAGAAACAGACTACACACCTACGTGTGGGCAAAACAACTAGCGCCCACACGGCTTTTTTTTCCCGATCCCTCTCACACGCGTGCGTGTGGGCAAAGTTGATAACGCCCACACGCCTATATGTCAGGTCTCGTACCTCCTGATCCCGCACGCCACACGTGACGGTCATCGCGCGCCCGCAGTTGCCATGGTCCAGACCCTCGTCCATATTCGTTTAACTGCAGTTGCCATGTCGCTGAACTACGGTTGCCATGTCGGACAACTGCAGTTGCCATGGTTGCTCAACTGCAGTTGCCATGTATGGTCTGATCTACTGTAGTTGTCATGATTTCATAACTTTAGAAGTTGCCACACACTAACACTAGGCAGTTGAGAGAGTTGACATGTGCTCACAAGCATGCTAGGGCAGTTGTCATGTAAAAAGAAAGAGTTGCCATCTGCTTACGTGTACGTCAGGGCAGTTGCCATGTACATGCACGTTAGTGCAGTTGCCATGTACCATGCAAAAACATATGGCAACTCGGTAAAAGAGAGTTGCCATCTGCTTACGTGCACACTAGGCAGTTGTCGTATACCCTGCAAAACACATGGCAAACTCGGATAAAAAAAGAGAGTTGCCACCTGCTTATAAAGCACACTAGGGGCAGTTGCCATGTGCTTTGGGTGGGAAAGGAGACGGACGTGTGGGCGAGATGGCAAATGCCCACACACTAGCCCTTGTGTGTGCGTGCAAAGTGGGTGTGGGCGAACTGCTGAACGCCCACACACCAGCTCCTTCTGTGTAATGAAACGGCTGTGGGGGCGACCGGCTGAACGCCCACACACCAGGCTAGTCCTACGTGGCACTAGAAACATGCCAAGATTCGTGCGCTCACGAACGGACGCGGATCCACACGTGTGGGCGAGATGCAAACGCCCACACGTGTGGGCGTTAACATTTCCGTAAAATAAAGATTCACTTACAAGCCACGTAAACATCGACATTACAGGACTGAAAAGATAGGATAATCCTATGAAAAAACCAGCGCATGTCCTTCTCCACTAAGGAAAATGAGACATATCACCTCTTCACCCGAGCTCGACACGGCTCCATCGCTAATCAATAGCTTTACGGACCTCCAAAGTAGTTTTTAAAACAAAACCATTGCCGTTGAAAGAATCAGACCGGGACAACGTGCCCCGGACACACCAAACACATATATACTCCTACTAGGTCCCGATTGGATTGTCGTATTCCGGTCGAATTCACCCGTAAAAAAATCCCTCCGTAGAAAAGTCAGGTGATCCTCGATTTGGTTATTGGATTGTCCTTTTATATGGTTGTAATAATTACACCGGGTTTTTTCTAGCTAGGGCATCTTCAATGTCGATCTTCAAACCGTTCGTATATGTCAGACATCATGAAAGTCATCTAGTATGGGCATGTATCGGTCAGCACGATGACTCGGACGTATTTTTCCTCATAAACCGGAGACAAATGTGAGGGGTTTTGCACGCGTCTGGACCACTGGCATGTCCGCTACTGACCGCTCTGGCCCAACCAAACCCCCTCCCTTGCCCATGCGTGCTTCCTATCCGAGACGGTCCGCGCCGCTCCAGAGCGTCAGTGCCCGCATTATGCGCGGCCAGAGCAGACGCGACTGCTCACTAGCGTCGGCATTGAAGCGGCGCACCGGCCGAAGAGCGCCACCTTCAGCGCTTCCCGATGCACGCGACTGCTCCGTGTTCAAACAACACGACGACCGTCTGTCTGTCTGTCTGTCTGCCACCCACATTAATGACATGCAGTTGTCGATGCAGCTACTCCGGCGCCACCCGTCCGTCCTTCTGCCGCCCACCATTGTTATATAAACTGTTATCCCGGCCATAGCTGCAGTCTCGCGCCTCCGATCCCTGTCTGCACCACTCCCACCATGGATTCCTCCCATGCCAAAGCTCTCTAGAAAGGGTTGACATTGGAGCAAAAGAAGGAGATGGCCATCATTGTTGTCGGTTGGCAAGCCGGCAGGCAGCCGGAGGACGGCGATATCTCAATGGAGGGCGCGGTCGACGACGAGCCAGTGGCACCCTCCTCGTATGTGCCTGCCTTCTCGCCCGCGCCACTCTCGCCGGTGCATTGCACCATGACCATTGGCAGCGCCCGTGCCCATTACATGAACATAGCGAGGGATGGGAGGAGCAGTTCCGGGAGGCGCAGGCCGACGCTGCCTACAACCACCAACTCCTATAGGAGCACCTACAGACGGAGGAGTAGCTCGCCGCCGGCAGGGCGATCATGAAGGAAATATGCCCTAAAGGCAATAATAAACTTGTTATTTATATTTCCTTATATCATGATAATTATTTATTATTCATGCTAGAATTATATTAACCAGAAACTTAGTACATGTGTGAATACATACACAAACAGAGTGTCCCTAGTATGCCTCTACTTGACTAGCTCGTTAATCAAGGATGATTAAGTTTCCTAGCCATGGACATGTGTTGTCATTTGTTGAACGGGATCACATCATTAGAGAATGATGTGATGGACAAGACCTATCCATTAGCTTAGCATAATGATCGTTCAGTTTTATTGCTACTACTTTCTTCATGACTTATACATGTTCCTCTGACTATGAGATTATGCAACTCCCGAATACTGGAGGAACACCTTGTGTGCTATCAAACGTCACAACGTAACTGGGTGACTATAAAGATGCTCTATAGATGTCTCCAATGGTGTTTGTTGAGTTGGCATAGATCGAGATTAGGATTTGTCACTCCGAGTATCAAAGAGGTATCTCTGGGCCCTCTCGGTAATGCACATCACTATAAGCCTTGCAAGCAATATAACTAATGAGTTAGTTACGGGATGATGCATTACAGAATGAGTAAAGAGACTTGCCGGTAACGACATTGAACTAGGTATTGAGATACTGACGATTGAATCTCGAGCAAGTAACATACCGATGACAAAGGGAACAATGTATGTTGTTATGCGGTTTGACCGATAAAGATCTTCATAGAATATGTGGGAGCCAATATGAACATCCAGGTTCCGCTATTGGTTATTTACCGGAGACGTGTCTTGGTCATGTCTACATAGTTCTCGAACCCATAGGGTCTCATGCTTAATGTTCGGTGACGATCGGTATTATGAGTTTATGTGTTTTGATGTACCGAAGGTAGTTCGGAGTCGCGGATGTGATTACGGACATGACGAGGAGTCTCGAAATGGTCGAGACATAAAGATCGATATATTGGATGACTATATTTGGACATCGAAAAGGTTTTGAGAGAGTTCGGGCATATACCGGAGTACCAGGAGGTTAGCGAAACCCCCCGGGGAGTCAATGGGCCTTAATGGGCCATAGTGGAAAGGAGGAGGAGGCGGCCAAGGTGGGGGCGCCCCCCAAGCCCAATCCGAGTTGGAGGGGGGGCGGCCCCCCTTTCCTTCTCTCCTTCTCCTCCTTCCTTCCCTCTCCTACTCCAACTAGGGAAGGGGGAATCCTACTCCCACCGGGAGTAGGACTCCCCCCTTGGGCGCGCCTAGGAGGCTGGACCTCTCCCCCGCCTCCACTCCTTTTATATACGGGGGAGGGGGCAACCCATAGACACACAAGTTGATTATTGATCCCTTAGCCGTGTGTGGTGCCCCCCTCCACCATAATCCACCTCAGTCATATCATCGTAGTGCTTAGGAGAAGCCCTACGACGGTAGCATCACCATCACCGTCATCATGCCGTCGTGCTGACGAAGCTCTCCCTCGACACTCAGCTGGATCGAGAGTTCGTGGGACGTCATCGAGCCAAACGTTTGCAGATCGCGGAGGTGCCGTACTTTCGGTACTAGGATCGGTCGGATCATGAAGACGTATGACTACATCAACCGCGTCGTCATAACGCTTCCGCTTACGGTCTATGAGGGTACATAGACAACACTCTTCCCCTCTCGTTGCTATGCATCACCATGATAGATCTTGCGTGTGCGTAGGAAAATTTGAAATTACTGCGTTCCCCAACATTGGTATCCGAGCCAGGTCTATGCGTAGATGTTATATGCACGAGTAGAACACAAAGGAGTTGTGGGCATGGGTATATACATATTGCTTGCCATCACTAGTTGATTCTTGATTCAGCGGTATTGTTGGATGAAGCGGCTCAGACCGACATTACGCGTACGCTTACACGAGACTGGTTCTACCGACGTGCTTCGCACACAGATGGCTGGTGGGTGTCAGTTTCTCCAACTTTAGTTGAATCGGATTCACTGAACAGGGTTCTTTCTGAAGATCAAAAAGCAATCACTATACCGCGTTGTGGTTTTTTGATGCGTAGGTAAGAACGGTTTTTGCTCAGCCCGTAGCAGCCACGTAAAACTTGTAGCAACAAAGTAGAGGACGTCTAACTTGTTTTTGCAGGGCATGTTGTGATGTGATATGGTCAAGACGTGATGAGATATAAATTGTTGTATGAGATGATCATGTTTTGTTAAAGTTATCAGCAACTGGCAGAAGCCTTATGGTTGTCTCTTTATTGCATAAGATGCAAGCGCCATACAATTGCTTTACTTTATCGCTATGCGATAGCAATAGTTGCA